CTTTTTGGGGGGGGGGGGGTCTTTTTAAATATCATGAATACATATGTATACACTGTTTTAATTTGCTAGCTAAAAAAGAATAAGTTTATACAGAAATTATATTAGTTGCCATATACTATAGAAAGCTGTATACTTTTAGACATGCAATGTACTTCTTCTTGGAATAAAACCAGTATTAAGCAATGAGTTAATATAAAGTTTCCTGTTCAAGAAAACAACAGTTTGTCCCTGGTGGGGTTCGAAACCACGCGACTACCGATACTTAGATGTTTATTCCGACAAGCTCACAACTCGGGCACGCTGCCACTACTATATCAAATCACTTAAAGCTGCATGCCGCCAGATCCAGATTGCCAAAATCGAACTCGAGAAAAATGTACTAAGAGTTTAAGAAAAGTAAAAAGATTCAAGATTCAAGTAATAACTTACATGCTATATGCGATTAATGACTGATTTTGCTGTTTTTCTACTGCGTGACTAGTGCAGTAAGAGCTATTTATGCGTAACTTTACCCCCCCCCCCTTTTTTTTTTTGGGGGGGGGGGGGGGTAATTTATGTGGATTATTATAAACGGACTGTTTTGTATGTGCATTATTTTTGTTCACTTCACAATATTTTGCTGCAGTACCTTTGAAATACACTTTTAAGATTTTCTTGAAATTAGCATTGAATCTGGAGGCAATCAGCGTTAAGGCTTTATACTGTAGGATCGTTTTCCGATTCTGTAGTAAGCTACGTTGTTGTACATTAAATAAACTCATACAATAAAACTATGCCAGAGAAGTGAAAACTTGTACGGTTTCGCATACTTTCTTACTGTAACGAATGAAAGAAATATTGTAGAATAAATATTAATATTACATTAATAAATTAACTCGGATAGATCAGAACAGGAAAGAATAAAATAACAAAAATATGGAATTTCCAGTGTTTACGTACTCATTTTATTTGTTCATACATTCTGTATTCTGTTGTCAAACAGGTTTAACAATTCTTATTTACATTTAACACGTTACCTTCCTCTGACTGGGTGCTCCTTTTTTTCCTTCTATTTAGCTGAGATAAAATTTTATTTAAATAAAGCTATGTGATTCAGATGGCCAAGATATATTGTAAAGTTATAATCCTATTCCCTGCAGAAAGGTACATCGCTTAACCATTCAATACATACGAATTTCATTTATTTGTAAAGACAAAACAAAAAAAAATAAAAAACAGAAAGCAAAGATATTTATCTTTTAACTAGTTCAAAGAAAAACATGAATGTTGCCCCTGATATAATTTTGTTATAATGACCCCTCGTTATTGTGCATTGCATTAAACAACTAAAAAACACTTGTAAATTATGCAGCACGAATTATATGTCTTAAAGGCGCATAAAGCCTGATAAATTATTGAATCTTTCTTTCTGTAGAAAGGGTTGCAAGAGTGTATTTTAAAATGTTGTAAAAATAAATTCAAAATATTTAAGATAGTAATTACCTGAAGAAAAAGAGCTGAATGTAAAACAATTTGTGATGAAGGTAGCAAAATGTATATCTAAACAATTTTGACTTCCATAAAAAAATCTTAGTAATTGTTTCTGTACTTATTACCAAGTCTCAAAACAAGCAACCAACGGCTCAGCTTTATAGCAAATAAATGGGCCTTTGAAATTCAATGACGTACATTTATACAATCACTCTAGGATTACCAAGAATCCAGATCAAATGAAGGCATTATTCTAATATTCCTATTCGGTCATTTAACAAATTTTGATATCAAACAGTTGCGTGCCATAGTTCTGTTTAATAAGTTGATATTTATGAAGAAAACAGGCAATGGCGTTAATATCAGGGTAAATTGCACCATACTTGATGTTTTATTTTTTAACACTTTAGACAACGAACGACAGAAAAAAACTACATTCTTATTTCTTAATAGCTATTTTTAAATGATGAAAAGAATAAATAATTGGTTCGTTTAATTGTTTAAATGAGATGACAGTGTCCCCTTTGCTTACTAACTTGTACGCACATGAACTAGCTATTTGAAAACCACGTGTTTTTATCTTTTTACCGTATAACGTGTCACCTTACGCCATTTATAACCGTTAGGGATCGCGTCCAGATTTCCAGATCAAAGTGCGCGAGGCACGAAATTACATAGATAATGAAAGGGGCTTATGAGTATTTGTGGTGTTCACAAGAAGTAAATATTTTGCATTGATGTCCAGTAATAATGTACCTTCGATAAAGAAAAAAAAATACAAATACGTCTAGGTGTTTTGAATGATGAGCTAGATTATTATATACATGGAGTTGAGTTTATTGTCTTAAAGAGATGATTGTGTGCCTTTTGAGAAATGCGTATCATTCAATATCCATATATTTTGGTGTTTAAAATATTTACATATATTTACATGTATTTGCATGCATTTACATATATTTACACGTATTTACATGTAAACAATATTAAAAATAGAACAAAAAATTTGAAAATATCAGTATACTTGTAGTCCATGAAAGACTGACAGAACTTTTCAGTTTAGAGATTACAAGTGTATCAACTGTCCTATTAGAATTCTACTTATGCGCCGTTTACAAGATGTCGATTCCATTATGATAAAGGTAGTTCAAAAATAGATCCGTGTGTTTTTGTTTTCTTTTTTCACTGTTAAATCAATCAAAAACTGGCAGCTTGTTTTGTAGAAAGATTAGCGCGGCATACTTTCGCGTATTATCCTACCGGAATACTGGTAACTTTTCAGGAACATATTCCAGCAAGGTTACGTTTACATTTAAATCAAGTGTAAACAAAACAAGCAAGCTTTTGGGAGAAAATAGGCCGCTTGGGTTATATAGATTTGGCAACTGAAAGCAACAATATGGCATATGTTACGTGACACACAGCTACTTTATATACTCAAACAAACAAAAAACTTTGTAAAATACATCTGTTGTATTTAATCGTGTTAACTTGTTTCATGCTCGACACCTCTTAAACACGTCCGTATTGATAAGTAAACAAAACTTTCTTGAATGCCTTTGGTTACATATAGGACAATCACTAAAATGGAAATATAGAAGTCACATTTGCTTTTCGTAAATTTTATTGATAAAAATGAATCTCAAATTGTCATATAGATGGTATTTAAGTTCGGAGAAAGTTATAATAACAAATAAATACAATGTTTTATTAGGCTTAATGATTTTAGTGATATACAAAAAACAGTCTACTTGAAGTTTGTTCATGTCTTTACCCTTTATATAAAGCCGTATGTAACATTCATCACAAAAATATATATTATTTTATACACGTGAAATATATATTATTTCATATTAAACTGTGAAAAAAGAGAAAAACGGAATCCCTAAAGAAAGCCCAAAACGACAAAATTGAAAATGATGCAGGCTCGGTTTTGATTTAGCATGCTCACGGACAGTACTGGAAAGTGCAATTTCACATCCCCTAGCACTGGTTTAGGCAGAATTCAACATTAAAACACAGAGTTGTGAAATTTTCAATTAAGAAACACCCGCAGATGTATGTTTTTAGGGCGGTTAATATGGAATTATAACTCTTTTACATCAACAACTATGGACAAATGCAATACCTGGCATCTATAAAATATTTAGCTGTCATTTATAGGTTATGTAGCTTCTAAAATGCAATAAATAGGAAACAGAAATGTATGTTTTAATCCCACTGAACAGAACATATGTATATTAACTCAAGTTACATTAAGTCATATTGTGTCTTATTAACAAATAAAAAAAATTCTTCTTAAGAAAGGGCAAACATGACTTTTATAAAGAAAGAGCATGCAAGATGCTTATCACCTAAAGAAAGAAGCGCTTAATGTGACATTATTTGCTAGAAAAGTAGCAAAATGTAAACGTAGTAGTATTTTGACTTCCATTCAAAATACTAAATAACTATAACCCTACTTATTGCCAAAAAGCAACAGAAACAAAACATTGAACATGTAATTGGCCAATGTGATTTTTTTTTTTTTTTTGGAAACTATAACATGACACAAAAAAATAATATAAAAAACTTGAGAGAAATAAAAGCATTTCTGTGGCATACAGGGCCTATAAGCAACACATGAGTTGAATATAAAAACAGTGGCATACCTTTGTATATTAACATATGACATGGTCTGATATTGCTTCATACAATATTATTTTAGGCTTTTTTTTAAGCGGAAAACTTATGATTACCATGTGACATGATAGAAAAAACACTCGGTCATCATGTACTTGGCAACAATAAAGACTTCGACCAATTTGACGCAAGACCTTTTTCATCATTTCAGAAAGAAATAAGAATGAACATTACTTTTCTTAATTCGTATTATAAGAACAACATTTGGAAGATGAATGACAGCAACTGTTAATTGTTGTTCGTTCATCATTTATCTAAAAAAAAAACAATAGACAAGAAAAAAAACAAAAAAAAAAAAAAAAACAACAAAAAAACCCAAAAAAACAGGAAAACGCAACATTAAGAAACATGTTAATGATCTCTTCTCAAAGTCATTTTAAACACGTATTACACAGCAATTTAAAATTCAATTTTATATTGTCATTTTGTATTTCAAAGAAATGATTAATTTAAAAGTTGTTGTAGGCTGTAATCCTTGTCGAAACGCAGCGGTGTCTTCTAAAACAATTCAAATCTCTACTTTAAACTTTTTTCTACTCCCTTATTCTTATATTTTCTTTTTGTTGTCCTTACACAACAATACAAAAATAGTTGTTCAAAAGTATAATAATTTATAAATTAAACTAACTATATGTCACATTTTGACATAAAGCATGTCGATAGTTGATTTCATTTGTTGAAATCATGCACAGGGGATGATTCTCAAACGGCCGTTGTGTATAGGCAGTTGTTAATTCCAGGTAGTCGTCATAACAGTCTAGGCTGTATTTAAACTAGAGATATGTTTTAAGATTTTTTTTCTCACAGAATGGTGAAGTACATGATTGTATTACTATTTTCTTTGTTTGCAGAGGATCTTAATAAAGAGTGTGAGGAAGAGGAGGATGACGTCATTTCCGGAACAAATCAAGTCCGACCTTACTTAGTGACGGTGATGGCAGTTTTGTATATGGCAGCATCCTGGCATTAAACATTGGCATTATAGGCGACATTATGTTTAATTTATATCTAATGAACGGTGGTTCTCAGATCACTTTGGTGCAAATGTTATAACGTGAGATTGTAACGTTATTGGCAATTGTGTAAGAAAGATATTTTGTCGTATGAGCGTGTCCGGTTAATAGGTCAAGAAATATGGTATATAGCTTCAAGAGCATTTAAGTCTACAGGTTTTGCCATGAAGTGAGTATTATAATTCGTTATTCCCATTGGAAAATTACTTGCTTTCTACGGCGGATCAGTTTCAGAAAATGGATGCATCGTATCCAATGACAGTGTGTTTAATTTGTTTACATCCTGTTACAACAACAGACACGTTTGTAACGACGATTTTCATTGGATAATCATTGGATAACCGTGACGACACATGGCAACTGTGGAATTAAGAATTATTTTCTTTTTTCTGACCATTCAGTGTCAAAAATATGTTTTAAAGATTTTCATGGTTATATGGCTGTATATTAACGATTTGTTTGTTATGTAAGCGTTTTCCTTATGTTTTAGGTTATATTATCTAACGACCGTTTAATATTGGCCATATTACCTTTATAAATAAAACACTTATAACTTATAATAATTTATAACAGCAAATAAATCTCTTTATTTTTATTAATACTCACATTTTGAAATTTTGGGAAAAAACTGATCAATACATTTACACTTTAATAGTTGATCGTTTTGTGCTTTTATGTCCAAAAGATATAATCTAGATATTACTTCGTCGTTCTAGCATTTGTTAATTAACTTGTACATTTGTTTATTAAATTGTACATTTGTTTTGGTATGTTTATATTAGTAAAATGTTAATGTGTAAATATGTTGCAAGAAATGTTTGTTTTTATATATTCTTAAGTTTCAGTTGATTGCAATAGGGTTTATTTTAGATTGTATTTTTCATACATATTTGTAAATTATCTAAAGTTAGTAAATATTAATCTTTAGTATACAGTAAGTTGTTTGAATTGTTGGACAGTGGGCTTACATGTTTTGGTAATGGAAGTTATCACTTTGTTTTTATGTGAGTATATCAAGCATTGGTAATGTGCAAGAAATTACAGTACACCTTCAAAAGCTTCTTCTTAATCAGGACTGGTCCATTGCCCAGTCGAAATGAATGTATAATGCATTCCTTTGTTTGTATAGTAGTACATTTCTAATACGTTTCAGTAATCGAAAAAGAATTAACTTATAAAAATGTGTTGTACTACATTACGAGGTGGAGGAGTTTTCATGACGTCATTTATGGTATCTACGTCACATCTTGCGTCATAAAACGTCCTTGCATTCCAATTTATGTCATGTATATATCGAGTAAAAATAAGTTCTACATGGCCGTGTAGATTAATTTTGATAGGAAAAGAAATGTGAGACGTGTTAGGAAATCATTTTTCCCACCACATTTTATCTGATTGAAGGGCATAGCTAATGAAGGTAAATATATATTTAGAAATAACGACATTACATTCCAAAAATTGTTTCATACATTCATACATACATTAATCGCCAACACTGTTTTCTATGTCTTTTTGCACAATTTTGTCTAAAAAATTAGGCATCATGTTTTAAAATCTCTCATCTTTAAACATGTTTATATATAAAGTGTTTTTTGACTCACTAGAACTGTGACTCATTCTTTTGGTGTTTTTATTTGATTGTTAGATATGAACCTACTTATGCACTCAATAACAAATTAACACACTTCAAAAAGCATGCACTTATTTTCATATCGTCATCTTTAAGTAGAAAGACATCGTGTTCATTCCAGATGATACATTTACTAGCTTATAATCAATATGTAAACATTTTTTTCATCTTATCTTTTTATTGCAATCCTTACATGTTATTGTATTAACTTATGGTATAGATCTAGCATAACTTGGGGCCAAACCAATGAATTTTTCCATCGTTTTCTTTATTCGCCAAAAACAATATAGCCTATTAAAAAAGTTAGATTTATAAAGAAAAATCTGTAACATTATTGTTTCTTAAGCATGAAACGGTTGATGGTGTTCTGGCGTTTTTGAACACTGCACCCATTGCGCTCGTGCATTTTTAATATCTTTTCTCCTTTCTAGTATTAAGGCAAAGATATGTTACAGCTAAGAACTACCTTGATATTATTGAATTTTAACAATGTAACACTTTTGGTGGTATATATATATAGCCCTGTGTAACAATTACGTACATCTTTGGTTGTTTTAAGATTTTTAAAGGTCATACAATAACGTTTTTTTGTTAACACAGTGTATCTTCGGCAATTATCTTATTTGTGTAATCCAAACTGTTTTTTAAATATTAATATATTTTACATTTCAACTGATGTAGTATTTATACACTTGGTATAAAATGTCTTTAGATGAAAATTTGTTAAATCGACATTCTAATGGTTGAGCTTGGCATTAAAATGTGTATCACCAAAATTAATGTATTATAAATTTACATATATGCAAGATTTTCTTTTTCTTTATGTGCACGGTTTTTACAGTCATAATCTATCATGGCCTATTAACAATGTTATGAAATAAAATACTACATGTACATTTTAGTGGGCCAGTGAGGAAAATTATTTACAATACCTTATATAATAAGACCATCTAAGACAAGGTTACTAACATTTCTTGTTTACAATTCTTGAATATTTTCAGGTAAAGGCACATGCATTCTTTTACTTGTGGACCATTTGCCACTGTTTATGGAATGGCACAAACGTGTCACATAGTGAGTTCTATGATAATCACCGTATGACCTCATCAGCGGTTGTTTCTAAATTCAAAACTTCACTATAACATATTTAAAGGTTAGTTCTGCTTAAGCCGGTGCTAAGGGGCATGGATGGTGGCTTTTCTTTATCACTACCGTCCATGAACGGACCTGTAACATTTTTTTTTCAAATTTGCCGTTTTGGGCGTTTTTAATTATACCGTTTTTCACTTTTTAATATTCACCCATTTTTCAAAATATTTTTTTCACCTTTTTATTACCAGGGCAATGATATATTACAGATAAAAAAAAACACTTTTAACTATTTTACACTATAGTAACATAAATTGAACATTATGTATCATTTTAGCAAGAATACATGCCAAGTAAGTTGGAAGTAAATTTGGAATTTCACGTTCCCACCTTTCATCTTTTTATTGTCTTGTATCTTAATTTTGTTTTATTTTAAACAGGCAAAGACCACACTGATATATTGATTTAAGTTTATTTCAAATTTCCAAAAGTTAAGAGGGACCAGACGTATATAACTAAAAGGATGTTCGCTGTTTCTATGTAAATGAATTAGACTTGCTTTAAATTTGACTTCTTGCATTGGTTAGTTCAGGGATATGAAGCTTGAATTACTGAATTGTGTAGGCAGCATTAAAAAAGTATTGCAAGACTGTACAGATGAGTGGGTCTGATTTGGTCTACATTTTTTGTCAATGAATGGGTAGATCTTGTATTCTGCTAACAATGGTATGCCAATAGGCTGATCAACGTAAATACAGTGCTGAATTTGATCAACGTGAATAAGCTTTTTGTGTGTTCGGTTGGTCAACAAGAAAACGATATTAATACACTTGTTACTATATATAGTAACAAAATTGCCCATGATGAGTGTCACGTGACCTGAGTTTGCGGCCCGGGGCCGAGAACTAGTTATCAGCCCGCAGAACTAATGTAGGTGCACAAACTGAAACAATGACGTCAGATTTCACGTCTTCAAACATTTAAAGTAGGTTTTTAGCACGAATCGCTTGATTTTAATATGAGAGCTTACACAGTTTTTTTAACTATTGAAATTTAAAAAAATAATACGACAAATTCATTCCGAAAAAAAAATGAAAATAATACTTGCTTCTAGATTCTAGTGTACTTTGTACACATAAAAAGTAAACAACTCTGAAGAAGTAAAGTTCTGTACAGTACAGTAGAAGTACAGACGAAAGAAATATCAAAGTATTTTTTTAGAAAATTGCTACTATAAGATCTACCAAGTGTATTAAAGACATTAATACACGTCATAGTTGTGCCAGAAGGTGATAATCGGCCCTGAATGAATAATGCCCTCGGGCTAAAGCCTCCGGCCATTATTCATTTTGCGGGCCGATTATCACCTTCCGGCCCTACTCTGCCGTGTATTAATCTCTTAAAGCAGCACGCCTCCAGATTTATGCTAATTGTCATGAAAACTTTGAAAATGTATTAGAATGTGCAATATTGTGAAGTAGCTAAAAAGATGCAATTTACACTTTATCAATGGTACTTACAAACCACGTTAATTAACAAAAAGTGAACAAAAAGTGGTCATAATATGCTTAAATAGCATTTACTGCGTTAGTAACGCTGCAAAAATATAGTTGTAAATACTGAAAAATCAGTCATTAATATGTAAAATATAACTCGGATCTTAAAACTTTTTACTTTTCCTTACATCTTAGTACATTTTTCTCAAGTTTAATTTCATTGAAATATTTTGTCCATCTGGAGGCATGTAGCTTTAAAGCTGTTCTGAAAATCAATGTGAATACGCTTTTAGTGTTTAGTTGATCTTTCAGTGCATAGTTAATTATCGCCAATACGCTTTAAATGCTTAGTTGACCAACATGAATACGCATTTAGTGCTCAGTTGGGCAACATGAATATGTTTAAGTGTTCTGTATATCAACGTGAATTAAATCGCTTTAGTGCGCAGTGATCATGACGTCTTGAAATTATAACATGAGGAAATTAGATAATGTTAGCATTATAATTTTTAAACATTCATTTGCGTTAATATTCTAATTGAACAATTGTATGTTTTAAAAATTGCTTGTATAAAGAAATTTATATCATGAGCATGTGCGACATAGTCACGTGACAATATAATTCGCTATATTGAGTCACGTGACATTATCATGTTACTATATATAGCAGAAATACGTAATTCCATGTGTTGTTTAAGATAATTGTTTATTAATTATATATATACATGTAGCTCATAGTTGGAATGGTTGTAGGTTTATATAGTTAAGTAGAACATTATGTACGGATTGCTGTTCTATGATTTGACTTCATGTTTTACTATTGTTACTATTAAACTTTGTTGATAACAATACATCATTATTATACTATAATCCATTTGTAATAGGTAAATAGAAAATAAAGATTTCATAAATTTGGTCTTTTTTCTTCTTTTTATTCATTTTTCATACATACATACATACAACATACATACATACATACATACATACATACATGTATGTTCTAGCACATCGTCGGATACCCACGGCCGAACCATTAGCATACATGTAAATCAACCGCGGGACTTGTATAAGTATATATTGTAAGCATATCACACGACCTGTATTTGTTATACGGGCTAGTCACGTTTCTATTTCGAAACTATATGTTTATTTGAGTGATTCCAATATCAAAGTAATAAGAATGACCAGACGGTTGTTGGAAGACATACAATGTACATGTAAGAACTTATCGCCCCTTTATGAGGAGTAAAAGACATATTATAGCTAAAAAACGTGCTTTTCACAGTACCATATTTATGTACTTTAAAAGCGTACTACATATAGGTACAGGTAATATAAATGAGTAACTTATAAAACAACAGTTTACTGAATGCAAACTCTGTAGTTAATGATTAGACAACGGATGCACATTGTATCACTGTGACCTTGATCCAATGACCTTAAAATCAACATCGGTCATGCACTAGCCATGGCCAATACCACTACAAAGTTAATGTATTCCCCAGATATTAAAAAGACAAAGATGTCTCAAAGTGTTACTGACCTTGACCTGTAACCTAAATATTTATAAGGTAATTTTCTGCCCTACCAATTAACTTTAACCATCTCGGGTTATTCATCAGACAATGATTTTACACATGTCAATGGAATCTTAACCTGAAACAATATGACCTCAAAATCAACAAAGGTCATCTTCTGGGCATGGACAATGTCTCTACTAAGCTACACAACCATATCTAAATGCCTTCCAAGTTATTGATTGGACAATGATAACAGGACGTACGCTCGTATGTACGTACGTACAGATGAACCACCACATAACAGTATGCACCCGCACTTAAAGTATGGAATAGTTAAATCTTTTTTTGGATGCATTTCACGTTGCACCAACACAGAAGGTGTCATATAGCTACTTTCCAGCTTTTCTGGTGGAGGAAGACCTCATGTCTCTATCCATGCATTGTTTCAGGAAGGAGCGATAAATTGACTAGAACCACCGACGTTCCGTACTCTAGCTGGATAGCTTCCTTACATAAAAGAATTCAAAGTCCCCAGAGGGACTCAAACTCAGCGGTGAGGGTCAAGTGGTTTTTATTAAACTACCTTAACATCTCGGCCACGGTAGACCCATATTTAAGTAGTAATAAGCAATGTTTTGAACCGGATGCTCAGATGCAACTATATCAATATTTAACAAGCTACATACCAAATATAATCCGAATACTAAATGTGAAACGTTTTTATTTGTCAGACACACGGTAATCATCATGACGCTGACCGCATTAATAGGGTCATAAATAGGTCATGGCTAAAATTCTGAGAAATGAAGGCCAAAGCATAATTATCTATGAACCAGGCCAGCTTTATGTGTTTGATATCAGTGATGTAGGTAAAAGCTTTGTTTAGTTATTAACTGAGCAAGCTCATACTGACCTCAAAACCAATAGGGGCATTTAACCGGTCATTGCTAATCCAACCTCTCTATCAAATCTAAGCCCTTTTTGCCAAAGTTGTTTCCAGTTATTGATCAGTTCTAGCCACTTCTAATGACAGACATTCGATTGACCGATGAGCAACGCCTTATCTCGAATCAGAATTTGTATGGTGTAACAATACAGGGATGAAAATCAATACTGGATTATACATTAATAGATCTGAACAATCAAGGTAAATACTATCGTATAACTAATAGTTTTATTTTAAATTCCTTTATTTATCAGGAATTTTAGGAAAGAAAAATCAACAACAATACGTGAATATAACATAATTATTTCATAAATGTGTCACGAAAAGTCAAGAGACTGATATTCAGAAAGAGATTCCGGTGATGACGAAGAAAATGTAAGCTGAGAATCATCTTTAGATGATTCAGGTAAATCAACAGTGTTCTTTGAGTTCGCTCCAATATCAAAGAGGTGACCCTCATTTGTTAAATCAAGACTATCTTCAGATGTTATGTTATCTCCTGTACACACTAACGTATCGTCTTGCGAGTCTGTTAACGTAACTGAGTCAGTGTTTAAGCTCTCATCACCGCCTGGTTTTATTGTATTATCAGATTTATCAAAATTCTTAACTGACATGATGTTTTGAGAGTCTGCTAATGTAAACATGTCAACAATTACGTTGCTATCTTCTCCGTCCTTTGTCAAGTTATCAATATTTTCAGTTTCACACGTAAACGTTAAACTACATTCATGAATGTCTTCATTTTGTACTGTATTACTTAAAACGTCATTTGGAATTTCTAGGTCTGCTGCATCTAATGTACTTAGCTCCACATCTTGACTGTTCAGTGCAAGTGGACTACCAAGATCTAAACTTTGACTGTTAGAGCATGAAAATTGCAAGTTACTATCAATAGCGTCTGATCCATTTCCCATTTCAAGTTCCATATCAATGGTTTTCTGGTTATTAGATACATATGTTACTGAATGATCCATGTTAGACAGAACTTCCCTATTGCTTTTGTTACTATTATTTACCACGTTTACACTTATTTCACAGTTTGTATTGCTTAATTTGTCATCATTCCCCATCACACAAACATCTAATCTGGCTCTTTTTAACGGATTGTCTGCATCGACATTTGTATCTTCATAGCACTTTATCCTTTTCAATGGCCTCCTTGCATTTAAATCTTTGCTGTCTAATCTAATAGTGGTGTCAGCAACATTGGTTACCATTTCGTGACAATTTGGGCTAACACTATTTTCACTTTCCTTTCCAGTGGGACTAAATTCCTTTTCATCTTCAATCTGAACTTTTGTCTTGGAATCAACCGTGACGGTCATGTTGTTGTACAGATTCTCCTGCTCTTCATCAACTGGTATACTGTCTGTACTTTTGTTCCTACTATTTTCTCTTCTATCCTCTTGCAAGTCCTCTTTTACACTTTGTGAAGATGATCTTCCTAGACAATCATTACTTTTAGTTGATGCATTTAATTTCTGAGTTTGACTATCATGGTCAAATATGACTTCAACTTCCATTTGAGGTTCTGAAAAAATATTGCCACAAAAACCTTTAAAATAAACTGTGAAAGGGTTTTATTAAGTTGTCTGTGATATATTGTATCAAAGTTGACTGTAATGGTTTTAATAAGTTGTCTGTGATATGACATATCAAAGCTGACTGTCCAACAGATAAACAAGGTCAACTGTGCAACAGTTGGCTATGCAATGTATTATTACAGTTGAATGTGCAATGGCCTATCACACTAATTAAGCACAAGTTGAACAAGGATTGACTGGAGTGTGCAATGGTAAAACAGGTATTACTGTGCAATGCCTATAAAAGACCTGAGTATTCAGGACAAACTGTGCAAGGGATTAGCAGTGTTGATTGTGAAAATGTTTGTCAGGGTTGATTTTGATTGAAAGAGTTTAACAGGGTTGACTGTGCAGGAGCAAAAGACAGACTGTGCAAGGATTTAACAAAACTGACTGTAAAGGGGTTAAAACAGGACTGATTCTAAAAGGGTTTAACATGACTGGCTGTGTAATGGTTTAACAGGATTGACTGCAAAAAGGTTTAACAGGGTTGACATGACTGACTGTGAAAGGGTTTAATAATGTCTACTGCAAAAAAGGTATTACAGGGTTGACAGTGCAAAGGAAAGGGTTTAAAACAGGACTGACTGTGAAAAGGCTTTAAAGGATTAAATATGAAAAGGTTTAATAGGACTGATTGTGCAAAGGTTTAACAGGTCTGATTTTTTTCTCTGTTTCACAGAACTTAATATGCATTGGTTCAACATTTCTGACTGCACATGGGTTTTCCGGGCCTGACTATGCAAAAGTTCAACAATGCTGACAGCAAGGGCTTAACAGGTTTAATTGCAAAAGTGTTTAACAGGACTGACATTGAAAGAGATTCACAAAGCAGACTGTGTTAAGAGTTAAACAAGGTTTACTATGTAATGATCAAAACAACCCATTATAACGTTGACTGTGCATATTGGAACTAGTATTTCCTACCACTATCACAAATCATTTGATTCTGACGAAATTCGATTATTTAAAAAATAGCTACTTGTTGTTTATAATCAACTTGATGTAATGGTAATGGTAAAGACAAATGAACAGAACAAGCTCTACCTGAATTAGCTGAGAAGAAGTCAATCAGGGACGACTGTTTGGTTGAAGTAAATAACTCTTTTGGAGGAGGAGAATGGGTAATCTGTAATGATGATTTTGGTGGCTTTAATGTTGATGACCTGGTTTTCTTTAACCTCGGCTGAGGTCTTTGTAGCTAAAATAGAATAAAGCAAAACATGCCTATACATAAAATCATGTAGCAAAGACAACAGATATATCTAGATGTTCAAACTGGCTGCTATCACAGACAATAATTTAAATCAACATGCAACTAAAAGAGAGAAAAACAGAATCCCTAAAGAACACCCTACACAGCAAAATTGATATAAAGTCCATATTACAACATAGCTTTTTATAATAAATTTCACAGTAAAATTACGTTGCAATTATAACTTTTATCTATGTCCTTAAAGGATTTCTTTTTTCTTTATACAATGAGAATACATACTTTTCAGATGAATACATAATGTAAAGCAGTGATCACAGTAACCAGGAGAATGTAATACATGTAATATGATTTTATTTATTATTTCCCATGATTTTAACCGATAAATCAGTTTGTGAACCCTAAAAACCCAGTAACACCTTGACTTGTTTATATCATCTTTATACATGAGTATTCAGTAATGCAAAATCAGAAATTAATTTCTATTTCAATCACGGATTTATATTACATAGTAATATAAATCCGTGTTTCAATGAATGAAAGCCGATTGAAGATAATTGACTGGTTTCTATTAGCCGGTTATATATGTATAGTGACCCCGGTTAAAAAAGCTTAAAACAGTTTATACAGGGCCATATAAACATGTAACATATAGAGTATGCTCTCAAATAGTAAAGTCAAAGTTTAAAAAAAGCCTTAACTCAAGTCCTTTAATTTGTTCAAGTGCGCACTTGCCATCAATTTATTCTAAACCAGACAGAAATATTGTCATTACATGATACATTACTAGATCTAAATTATAAAAAGTCTAACCTTCTTTTTGTTTTTCGTCGATAACCACCCGTCAGAGTCCATAATTACCGACGTAGAATATATACACAAGTCCTGTGCAAATGGCGAATATTAATCAAAGGGAGGTCATCGTGTATGATTTTCGTTACCATAACACTTGTTACGTATGAAAGATACGTGTTATAAGGGATTCTGTCATGCTAAAATTTTGCGAAAAGCCATTTGCTTCATGATAAATATAAACCAATAAAATATGAATATATTTTTATGATATAATTATGATAATATGTCAAGATTTTAATAAAAACAGAGTTTATAATTATGGCTTGTGTTCTTTTACATGTTAAAGTTACATTAAATAAATTTCATAAAAAAGAAATAGCGACATTTCATTAATAAATTGGGTTTCATATCGACTCCAGATCTTATTTTGGTGTCCAGATAACCAAAATGAGTTTAATGAGCATACAAATGTGCAACCTCATTGTGGCGAATTCGGAAGTACAATTTCTATTTGCATGAGAAACTCCGCCTTCAGGTCATCCGTACATCAATATTAAATCAATAAACATGACTATAAGTAGCAGTCCTATATTAACGGTATATTTTCGCATTGTAACGGATATTTTCATACAAATTTAATCTTTTTTATGAGATGATTATTTTTTCTGAACCACAGGCCTAGTGCACCGTGAAGCTTTAAAAACGGTAAAAGTGTGTTTGCACAAGAAAATCTTATATTTGCTGTGTTCCGGATAGCAACTATAACACCGTGACGTAGCGCATACACGAGCTGATTATATTCTTCATTTGCATGTTAAAATTCGTATACGAACTTTAGTGTTACCGTGGGTTTTCCATATAAAATCCTAATTTATGAACAATATTTGATGAGATTTACAACGATACTGTTAAAAAGGTTAATGAAACTGTATAATGCTTGTTTTTTAGGCCGACGGCAAAAATATTTTAACATATCTATTTAATGTAGCTTTAATTAAGAGAATAGCAAAAATATACATTCAAAGCTAAAAGCAATCATTTTAAAAAATGGGTCCTTACGCAACGGAAAATGCTTTAATGTAGTCAATCGAAAATTAGGGGAAATTTTGACACGCTACAAAATACTTGCTTCAGTCATGGAGCTAAATATAAAAAAAATAAATATAAATGTATACTTAATGTGCTACAGTACTTGATGATCTTGATCAACGCGTTTCTTAAAATGTTTCTACAATTAATGGTGCTGGGACAAAAATAAATTTTGGTCCCACCTAGCAGGGTCTTTTGAATAGAAAGCCCCAGAATTGAGTTAGTAGCTCTAGGAAAAGAATCAAATTGGCTTTAGTTAGATAAAGCATTCAAGGTCAAAGATCAATACCATTTAAGGTCAAAATTGAAAATTTAAGGACAAATTATGCTTCATCTAATATGTTATTCTTTACATAATAAAATTGATAAACATACTATATGAACGTGAATATTTTATTCTTTTGCTCTGTCATTACACAACAAATGTCATGTGATAAGGTCACATAATTTATATATCATGTGTTGAAGCCTATTTTACAATGTTACATCACGGCTGTAATTAAAGCCGTGGTTATATGCTATGATAATGTACTTTGAAATTTCAGGCAAAATAATTTAAATGCGTTTCCAATACAAGTCTATGTAAAATAAATAAAAACCAGGGTTATAGATCTAACAAGTTAAATCTAAGGGACATAATTTATCTATAATGGATCATAAGAGTATATTACTTACCTTTTATCTATGTTCCCGCCGTGTAGTAAGAACAGAACAGAACAAATATTTTATTATTTTCAGACTTGAGCATATGCTCCTCATCTTAACAGAAATACAGTATATATCAAGGTATCACATAAACATTACAAAAGTATTAACATTCTTATATAAATATATATACACATCAGTACATACTTATTTATCATGAGAGTGATATAATATAATGGTTATTTATACAAAGTCGGATTACAATTATATTATTTTCTTAAGATATCGAACAATTGTTATCCCGCCAAGAGAAATGCACTTGGCTACTAAGTATTTCTAGAGCAATATTATATTGAAACAAAAGCAATAAACTATAGTACTTCTTTGGAATATAAAACTATTACAGACTCAAATAATTTATACAATGAGACTATGTTAACAAATTACTCCTTATTTTCAATGCACAATTCAGATAGCAAGCTAGATTGTCCAAAGTGTGTACATTCTTTGATTTAAACAACTGAGTGAGTTTAAACACACTTGAGATTTAAAATTTTAATAGTGTACATATCGTGTTTTTTACAATTTTAAACTTTGTACATGTTAAAATAAAATGAAATTCATCTTCAATTTCATTTGATCCACATACTTCTCAAACTCTCTTGCTCCTTTCTATTATATTCTGTCCGTATCTATCGGACTCAATACGTAGTTTTTGTGAGATAGTCTAAACTTTGTTAAAACTTGTCTACACTGATCTAACAACACTCGGGTAATCCTCATACACGAAGTCTTGTTTAACATTCTTATAAACAAATAGTCGAACTACTATTCCAGTCTTGCACAAAAGTATCTATTAAACGCTGCCTAAAACATGTAATGAAACAGTTAATTAATGTCAACATTTTGTGGTGATTCCCAAATATAGCCGAATCCATAGCTATATATAATAATTTCTTTACGTTATGAGCCCAGTTTATTTTTTCATCTTCCAGCATCAAATCATAAATTTTTCTAATTACGCAATTTTTCGTATTCAAAATTCTAAGCCAGAATTTAATAATTCTGATATAGCGATTAATATATAAAGTTCACCGTATACACCAACATTACTAGTGGACAATTTAACATTTAGAATATGTTTGCAAAATTTAAGATGTATTCTCTCCATTTCTTGACATTTTGTATAACCCCATACTTCAGCAGAGTAATTTACAAGAGCTGTCGGTAGGACAGCAAAGCTCGACTATTCTTAGTGCTTGATAGTAAAAAAAATGCTTGATACAGTTACCTCCTCCTATTTACAGGTTGGGGTCATGATGGTGAACAAGTGTGCAAAGTTTCAAAGCCATATGTCAATGGACTTTGAAAATATTTGAACTACCACAAAAACTTTAACGTAAATTCTAAGTCGAAAAAGGGGCATAATTTTGTCAAAATGCTTGATAGAGTTACCTCCTCCTGTCTACAGGTTGGGGTCATGATGGTGAACAAGTGTGCAAAGTTTCAAAGCCATATGTCAATGGACTTTGAAAATATTTGAACTATTACAAAAACTTTAACGTAAATTCTAAGTCGAAAAAGGAGCATAATTCTGTCAAAATGCTTGATACAGTTACCTCCTCCTGTCTACAGGTTGGGGTCATGATGGTGAACAAGTGTGCAAAGTTTCAAAGCCATATGTCAATGGACTTTGAAAATATTTGAACTATTACAAAAACTTTAACGTAAATTCTAAGTCGAAAAAGGTGCATAATTCTGTCAAAATGCTTGATAGAGTTACCTCCTCCTGTCTACAGGTTGGGGTCATGATGGTGAACAAGTGTGCAAAGTTTCAAAGCCATATGTCAATGGACTTTGAAAATATTTGAACTATTACAAAAACTTTAACGTAAATTCTAAGTCGAAAAAGGGGCATAATTCTGTCAAAATGCTTGATAGAGTTACCTCCTCCTGTTTACAGGTTGGGGTCATGATGGTGAACAAGTGTGCAAAGTTTCAAAGCCATATGTCAATGGACTTTGAAAATATTTGAACTATTACAAAAACTTTAACATAAGTGGTTACGCCGACGCAGACGCCGACACTGACGCCGACGCTCGGGTGACTACAATAGCTCTACTTATTCTTATCGAATAGTCGAGCTAAAAATAGAAACACAAAAAGCGTCAAAAAGGCTGCACATAGTTTTTGGTGTAAAATCAAAGTCTTTAGTATTTGATATTAAGGTATTCATTGCTTTAAGCGATTTTCCAACTAGCATTTGTACATTCGAATCAAAACGACCGTTAGAATTAAAGACCGTGCCTAAGTAATTAAAGTTATCCACTATCTCCAGACGATTTCCGTCATAAGTCCATTGTTCGCTATTTTTCAGTCTTCCCCTCCGTCGAAATACCATCACTTTTGTTTTGTCAATGTTCACTTTAATCCCCATCGATCACAGTATGTAAGAAGGTCATTTAAACTTTGTAGAAGATCTTCTATCGAGTTAGACATTAAAACCATATCGTCGGCGTAGAGAAAGAGGATTAACGTAATATCTCCGAAATCAAGACCACTGCCTGGACGAGAGCTTAAGTATAATTCTAAGTCTTCTACAAACATTGACCAGAATAATGGAGAACATATTTCTCCTTGCTTTAGACCTACTAGTATTTCCATGAATTCGGAGTATTTATTTAAGTGTTTAACACGGCACCTCACTTGATCGTACATTGATCTCACGATTCTTAACATTTTACCGTTAACACCTAATTTATATATTTTAAGCCACAGTGCATTTCTATATACGCTGTCGAAGCATTTTTTCATATCAATGAATGTTGCATAAAAACGTTTTCCACAATTTAAACTATTTTCAATTAATCCGTGAAGACAAAATATTGCGTCTGTTGTAGAGAAACCTTTTTTAAATCCAAATTGCGAGTCGGTGATGATGTCATTTGCCGCGCACCAGTCTGTTAGTCTAGTATTTATTACAGACGTAAAAATCTTTGATAACACGCTTACTAACGTAATTCCCCTGTAATTATCCAAAACGTTTTCGTCACCTTTTTTGAACAATGGAATGATAATCCCCTCCATCCAAGTTGACGGAAGTAAGATAAAAGTTTTTATCTCCATTGGGGCGGATCATTAAGCTCCATACGCTAGCATGAGTACAATTTTTGCTATTTTTACTAGTTTTTTCTTTGCTAAAATTAAACGTAAGTCAATATCCATATCGCAGATGAATTCCGCTTAATGGCCACCCAAACAAAAAAATACATCAACAAATTATATCAAAATTGTGAATAAATCTGGAATAAATCATGTTTTCCTGATTTGTTAATACAATTTG